AGTTCAGGTGGTGACCTGGAAGGTACAGTGGGTTTATGTGTATGAAAAGCTGATTTAACCAGGGAAAATAGGTCACGGTGTTAATTATTATCAGAGTATATTTATGTAATTCATTGGAAGTACCAGATGGCCTTTAACCACCTTGCATATGTTCTTTCATTGAGTTCCTGTATAAACCTAGGGTATGCCTCGAGGGTTCTGGTGTAGAGAATTACATGGTGGCAGTAACTGTTCCATAGGCAAGGGAGTTATAATTGTGTAATTGTTGTGTTCGGAATGAACCTGGGTTCAGTGATCACGACAAGAACACAGAGTTTCATATTGTTCATGTTGAGATATGCTGGCATGTGGACTATTTATTTTCTATTAGGGTGTGATAAGAGATATTATTTCTTACAGTAATTTAATGTATTATTGGAATATTCATGGCGTAGTCAAACTTGTATGCATGTTAATGCAAAATTTTAATTTCATTTACTTTAGAGTGAAAACTAAGTATTAAAGTTTGCCTTTCCTTTTTCCCAGGTGAGACCTTCCCAAAGCCAGGACAGCAAGTAGTTGTGCATTACACAGGTAAGTAAATATCTCAAATGGGGTGCACTTTTCTTGCTGGGAAATGGAACATGGCTGGAGGCTATAATTGTCTACCATAATAATTGTACATTATTACTATTTGGCCCCAATTTCTAACTTAATCTTAACTTGAAGTAGCCAATCTAACATGGCCTTAGCCATTTTAACCTTAAAACATCAACTAGTCCAATCCTAAAACACTAGTGTTGAATGTACAGTAATGAAATGCTATTTTCTGGGTGATCCCCGGAGGCTCCCTGAAGCTATTCGAACTGATATAGTGCTATACAGTATTAGTTTGGGATCATCAGTCATAAGAATCCTTTTGCCTACCGGGGACCACGAGCCAGAATCTGGCCTTCCTCAGAGAGGCGCAGGGAGTAATGACCTATTAGCACTTTACGTTAAAAGTACTCTTGTCATAATTGACATTAACTGGGGAAGGCACCCAGAAAGATAGGCGAAACAAAACAGACCATAATCTGGTGAAAATTGCAACCTATGTCTGAAAAGAGCAAAAGCGAAGACTTCATCCAACTAGCACTCTTGCTTGTAAGTGCTACCCCCAATGAAGGGGGGGGGGGGATGGGGAGCTGGCTCAGGTGAGCCAGCAGCTCACCATCCCAGTTCTTGAATGATGAAGGTCGCCGAAAATGGCATTTCATTTCATTCAACGCTGGTTTTCTGTAGGGCGCCCCATCGGCGTCCTGAAGCTAACTACCCACAGATAAGTAAAAACAGGGACTTGCCTGTGAGGCAACAGCACCACAGGTCTCAAGGCATATTAGAGAATGATGGCCATGACAGGCTCCCCAACGCAACACATGGCTATATAGGACCCGGAACGTTCACAAGATACCTGGCATGTGTTCAACCTCAAAACCCCCATACCCGAAGGTCAACCCAAAACATATTGTATTACCGAAGACAGCTGCAAGAGCAGCATACTTTCTCACATCATTGGCACAAGAGTAGACTGCAGGCTGGCTAAACTTAATTACACCACAGACAACCTGAGACACACTGGGCCCTGGAATAGGGCCCAGTGTAGCTCGCAGCCTGATGTACGAATCACGGCCTGGTTGATCAGGTATCCTTTGCCACACGATAAGAGGCGACAGTACTGTATTCGGCATAAGATGTCGTTCCAGGAAAAACCAAGAAAGTACAAGAGAACCCTAGCCGACACTGATACCCTTCAAAGGGAAAGGAAATGGCAGAAAGACTGCCAAGAAACTTCATACTGTCACTGAGACAAAGACCGCAGGTGAGACACCGTAAAAAAAAGGCCACCTGATCATCATACAAATGGCGATACACCAGTCAGAAAAACTAGACGCGAAGAGCGGAAGAGGAAATTGAACTAGCAAGGTACCTCACCGGCCCGACCTGCTGAAAGAGGAAGCGATGTGGAAAAACTCGCAGGTTCAAACACCGAGCAAGCAGCTCCTAAATCCAAGGCTGGGATGGCCACCATGGGACCAGGAGAATCACTTTTCCCCTGGTAGCATTCCAGCCAAGCCAGAACCCGGAGCAACAGTCAGATCAGAGGAGAGAAGTACAGGAACCCCCATTGTGACCAATCCTGCCAAAAAGCGTCCACCGCGAGGGCCTCGCAGTCAGGGAACGGCGTCATATACAATGGGCAATTCTGAGACCACGCCAACGTGAAGAGGTCTGCCTCCGGGCGCCCAGACGTCCAACAAAGCCAAATGAAGGAAGCTGCGTCGACCGTCCACACCGTGGAAAGAAGAATGAAGCTCGATAGGCCGTTTGCCAGAACATTGGCCACAACCTGAATGTGAACGGCGTGGAGAGCTAAATCCCAAGAACTTAGCAGAAGGGCCTCGAAGCGACCAGCCCCAAAGAGCCGCAAACCGAAGAGATGCTCCCCAGTTGAGACAATGAACCACAGAGCAGCAGTCCAAATGGAGCCGGATCACAGAGCCCCGAGGAAGCCGAATCCGCCGCAAACTCCTACACTATACTGTGAGCTCGAAGGAAGGATGGCTCCCAATGCCCTTGGCTGGCCTGGTGAGTGCTGGTTACAAAGCGCCGAACCCCGAAAAACCCAGTGGAAGCAGGAGAGAGAGCAACCAATGCAAAGACACCAGAGAATGAACCCAGCGAGAGCAGTGAAAGAGGCTGCTCCGAAAATACTAGAGCAGCCTCTGAAACCAAATCCTGCCCAGTGGATAAACCAGCAGAGCAAAGTTCAGGCACCTGCACAGCTGCTCTAGCAACCCCCGAGTAACCCGGGTCCCCTTCAAAAACGCCTGAAGGCAGGACTGCAACTGGAGCAAAGCTGCAGTAAGGAGAGAAATGGATAGGCCGAACCTGGTACGGAAACAATTGGGACTATTGCCAAACTGGGAAAGAACCAGATTCCTGGCTAGCAGACCGGCTGAAAGCCCACGCCAACCAGTTGTCGAGGTAGGCCAGAACCTGAAGACCTAGCAGATGCAGATGGGCCACCAAAACCCATGTTAAGCGCGTGAAAACACAAGGAGGCCAGATTCAAGCCGAATGGAAGACAATGAAAGCGGTAAGCCTGTCAACCCACCATGAAACCCAACCAATCCCTGAACCCCAGTTGAATAGGGATGTCAATAAGCATCCTTGAGGTCCATGGAAATCATCTAAATTCCGAGCTAAATTTCTCCTCCTAAAACCAACAGGAAGGACAGTAATTTGGACACAGCCTCCACAACTGGAGAAAATGCAGTGACCTCCCAGACACTTGTAACCAGAGCATCAAGGCCACTATACAGGCAAACAACCAAGAACCCACAGGGGCCTGTTACATCCCACAGCAGCAAGCCGAAGTCAAGGTCACAAGAGCAGCTGCAATGCGAGGAACAGAACCTAGAGCAGACAAAAAAGACGTTGCCACAGGACAAAAACCAAAACAAGGCAGATGCAAAAAAAGGGAAGCACAACATGAGCCACCCTCAAACACCAACCTGGGTGCTCATGACACATGAGCACCCAGGAATAGCAGGTGGGCCAAAAACCCGAAAAGCAAGTGACGCGAGCAATGATGACTAAGACATCACCCCTGGACAAATGTCAAGGCCCCAAACAGGCAGAAGCCAAGAGTGAAGTTCCAGCAGAGAACAACAGACTCAACTGACTCCACCCTAATACACTACCCACTCCCCTCTCCCTGGAATTGCACCAAAGAAGCGGCACAGTGTCCAGGCATGCTACCCATTGAGGATAAGTGGGTAATCCTACAACACCAGAGAAGAGAAGAGAAGAGAAGAGAAGGGAGCACAGCTGACAAACTAGACCATAGCAGTTAGTGTATAGCAGCAGCAGTTAGCAGTTAGTTAGCAGTATAACACATAGCCGTTAGCAGTATATCACAGCAAAAACTGTAGAAAAAACTCCAGTGTGCTAGAACCTGATGATGGCCACCAAAACAAAACTGCAAGACCAAACAGCCAAGGAGCTGCCCAAGCCCAAACAGAGGGTGCAGGTACAAAAACAAAGGCCAGGGAGGTACACACTCATCAACTCAGCAAGTGGCCTTATCAGAAAAGGAGGATGTCCAGCAGTAAAACATCGAGAGCAAGGAACACCCAAGCCCAAAACCATCCACCACACTGAAGCTCAGAGGACATAGGTAAGAAATTTTGAGAAAGGGATAGTAGACAAATGTAAGTCAGACTCCATCTTATTCTATAAATTTATTTCATGTAAAGATTAATATTGAGATTACAAATGAGCTACAGGTCTGTAATAACAAGAATTTGAGAATATAATATTTAGTACCTGGATGTGTCCAGAGATGTGCAGAAATTGCTCTGGAAGTTGTTCAGAAACAAAACAGTAGGAGTGAATGGTGTTTTGTGTTGAGTACCGCAGGGCAATGCTCTATTGCTCTATACTCAGCTACTCATTATAAATTATCTTCCAAAAATCCCTGCAAGCAAGCAATCTGGCTGACAACCTGGAAAAAGGCAAACATTGTTTCACTTTATTAAAGAAAGGTGTCTGGGAAAATCAAAAAATTTATAGACCTGTATTGTTGACCAGTACAGTACCCAAATCCATAGAAAATGTAGTCGAGTAGAGTTCCTTTGAAGGAGGCAATGTCATAACATACAGGCAGTTTGGTTGCCAGGTTGGAAGATCTTGGGTCAAATTTGCCAAGTTTCTAAGGCACTCACCAAAATTTTGCAAGAGACCGTAGACTGCTTCTATCTGAACCTTCAAAAAGCATTTGTAACTGCTGGAAACCTTCTCATGGATAGAAAAATGAGAGCAGCAATCAGGACATTAATTGGACTAGTGTGATGTCTCACAAGTAAGGTTCCACAGGGATCTGTTCTAGCACCCATAATGTTCATTGCCTATGTCAGTGATATATCTACTGGGATACAATGTTTGCAAATGCTAAGATACTGAGTGGCATAAGACTTAACAAAGTTTTCTTTAATATTGCCATTTAATACAAAAAAAGGTTAACTCCAATATGGACAAATGTAATGAAGTTTGGGATAGGTGCTGTTAAGCCACATCCCATGTACAATATATAACCTTAGCAAGAAGCCAGTATTAGGTCCAGAAGAGAGATTTAGAGGTAATAAACAATATTTTTCTCTGAGTGACTAATTTTGGTTTGATGTGGTTTTTATTTGACCTTCAGGAACACTAATGGATGGCAAGAAGTTTGATTCTTCACGAGATCGTGGTAAACCTTTTAAATTCCGAATTGGTCAAGGTGAAGTAATTCGTGGCTGGGACGAAGGTGTTGCTCAGGTAAATATATATTATTTGTTTGTGGAAAACAGGTGTAGCACTTCAGTGATGCCTAATAAATACTTGCATGTGTGTTGCATTGCATAATTTATATACAGCATATTGCTTGTGCATCACTAGATATGATTTGGTTAAGTGAACAAATCCACAAGGGCCGTGACGAGGATTCGAACCTGCGTCCTGGAGCATCCCAGTCACTGCCTTAATCGACTGAGCTACGACAGGGTTAAAAGGGTTGAAACCGAAGTTCTACTGAACTTACTGGATCCCGTAGCCTCTCCGAGGCACAAACCAGGATTTTACACAACCCCCCCCCCCCCCCTGCACCCGAGCTATGTCAATAGGCCGTTCTCCCTCTTCGCCCTTACATCATTACACACAAAGATCACACTAACATGATGCATCAAATTAACAAATCCACAAGGGCCGTGACGTGGAGGGGGGGTGTAAAATCCTGGTTTGTGCCTTGAAGAGGCTACGGGATCCAGGAAGTTCAGTAGAACTTCGGTTTCAACCCTTTTAACCCTGTCGTAGCTCAGTCGATTAAGGCAGTGACTGGGATGCTCCAGGACGCAAGTTCGAATCCTCGTCACGGCCCTTGTGGATTTGTTCATTTGATGCATCACGTTAGTGTGATCTTTGTGTGTAATGATTTGGTTAAGTGTTTGAACATATAATGAGACTTAACCTAATCTTACAAACAAAAGATACTACCTTTTACCTGTACCTGTTGATTCCGAGAATAAGTGTCTCCCCATGCTGGTTGCTGGTGTGATCAACCTGGCCATTCGATGTGGCTGCTCACAGCCTGACATACGCGTCACAGCCTGGTTAACCCTTAAACTGCTCGGCATAAGGGGGCATAATTAAAAAAATATTCAAATTATGTAAAAATTACTTAAAAATGTTAAACAAATCTCCAACTTGTTGGCTTCAGCATCATGAAACTTTCACCAAAATATTTTCAGAAATTGATTTTAGACGAATATTTAAAAAAAAAAGTTTTGTTGATAAGGAGAACAGCTCCTATTAACAGGAACTGGTGGATAACGCAATAATAAAGAGATGCATGCTAAGAGGTCCGTTGAAAAGCGGAGGTGCAACAGGTACTCTGAGAGAGAACTCTATCAACATCAGAGGCCCGAGACTGTTCAACACGCTTCCGCTACACATAAGGGGCATAACTGGCCGACCCCTCACAGTGTTCAAGAGAAAACTGGATAAGCACCTCCAAAGGATACCTGATCAACCAGGCTGTGACTCATACGTCAGGCTGCGAGCAGCCGTGTCCAACAGCCTGGTTGATCAATCAGCAGATATCGGAGCCAACGAGAAATGAAAATATTCTAGATCTGGTCTTTACGAACAATGAAGACATTATCAGAGACATTACGATATCAGATACCACATACTCAGATCACAAACTCATTGAAGTGCAAACGACCATCAATACTCAGAATAGACCTAAAACGTTGATAAAGCGAGAGGGGCTATTCAGTAAATTCAATTTTAATAATAAAAGGATAGACTGGGAGATAATAAACAGGGAACTTACAAACATTCCATGGGGAACTGTTCTAAATAATACAAGTCCTACAGAAGGAATAGAAAAACTTACTTCAGAAGCGTATCAAGTCTGTCTGAAACATGTTCCTTTGAGGAAAGCCAGAAAGAGATCTAACGTAGAAAGAGAACGCAGACGACACTATAAACGCAGGAAAAAAATAACGGAACTGCTTATGCAGACACGAATTTCCCGTCAAAGAAGGAATAATTTAAATAGGGAGATTGAGGAAATCGAGCGGAAATTGAAACACTCATATGAAACTGAAGAAAGGCAGTTAGAACAGAAAGCAATTCAGGAAATAAAGAAAAATCCAAAATATTTCTTCTCATATGCGAAATCAAAAGCAAAAACCACTGCCAGTATTGGACCTATTCGTACAAGTGAAGGTTCATACACGGAGGATGACAAAGAAATTAGTGAAATCCTAAAAAAGCAGTATGAGGACATGTTTAGCACTCCAATAAACAACATGAAGGTGGAAGATCCAGACATTTTCTTTATGCGGGATATTCAAACCCCGGTAAATATAACTGATATAAACACGAGCGCACTAAATTTTGAAAAAGAAATTGAAAACATGCCCATGCACTCGGCCCCAGGTCCAGACTCATGGAATTCAATATTTATAAAGAAATGCAAAGTGCCGGTAGCACAGGCACTCAGTATAGTGTGGAGGAAGAGCTTGGACATGGGGGAGATACCAGATGCACTTACAGTAGCAGACATAGCCCCTCTACACAAGGGAGGGAGCAAAGCATTGGCAAAAAATTATAGACCAGTTGCACTAACATCGCACATCATAAAAGTATTTGAGAGAGTGATTAGGAGTCAGGTCACCAATTTCATGGAGACCAATGACCTTCATAACCCAGGCCAACATGGATTTCGAGCGGGAAGATCGTGCCTCTCACAGCTACTTGAGCACTACGACAAAGTCACTGAGGCATTAGAAGAGAAACAGAATGCTGATGTGATATACACGGACTTCGCAAAGGCCTTCGATAAATGTGACCATGGCGTGATAGCACACAAAATGAAGTCAATGGGAATAACCGGTAAAGTAGGACGCTGGATACTCAGTTTTCTGTCAAACAGGACTCAGCGAGTAACTGTCAACCATATAAAATCTAGTCCAAGTGCAGTGAAAAGCTCTGTACCTCAGGGTACAGTCCTTGCACCACTGCTTTTCCTTATTCTCATATCAGATATAGACAAAAATACAAGTCACAGCTTCGTATCATCCTTTGCAGATGACACAAAAATCAGTATGAAAATTACCTCGGCTGAGGACATTGAAAAACTTCAAGCTGATATTAATAAAGTTTTCGACTGGGCATCAGAAAATAACATGATGTTTAACAGTGATAAATTCCAGGTACTCAGGTACGGTAAAAATGAGGACCTTAAACATAATACAGAGTACAAAACACAATCAAATGTACCCATAGTAGGAAAACAGCATGTAAAGGATTTGGGAATAATAATGTCTGACGACCTAACGTTTAAGGAGCATAACCAAGCAAATATTGCGACAGCCAGAAAAATGATAGGATGGATTACGAGAACTTTCAAATCCAGGGATCCCATCACAATGGTTGTACTCTTCAAGGCACTTGTGTTGTCCCGTCTTGAGTACTGCTCAGTACTCACTTCCCCCTTCAAAGCAGGAGAGATTGCTGAAATAGAGGGAATACAGAGAACATATACGGCACGCATAGACGCAATAAAGCACCTAAATTATTGGGATCGTCTCAAAGCCCTCCAAATGTACTCACTAGAAAGAAGACGAGAGAGATATCAAATAATATACACCTGGAAGATACTGGAGGGCCAAGTACCAAATCTACACAGTAAAATAACAACGTGCTGGAGTGAACGACATGGAAGAAAATGTAGAATAGAACCAATGAAGAGCAGAGGTGCCATAGGCACAATCAGAGAACACTGTATAAACATCAGAGGTCCGCGGTTGTTCAACGTCCTCCCAGCAAGCATAAGAAATATTGCCGGAACAACCGTGGACATTTTCAAGAGGAAACTAGATTTATTCCTCCAAGGAGTGCCGGACCAACCGGGCTGTGGTGGGTATGTGGGCCTGCGGGCCGCTCCAAGCAACAGCCTGGTGGACCAAACTCTCACAAGTCGAGCCTGGCCTCGGGCCGGGCTTGGGGAGTAGAAGAACTCCCAGAACCCCATCAACCAGGTATCAACCAGGTACCAGGATGCCTAGTCGACGACCGGGCCGCGGGGACGCTAAGCCCCGGAAGCACCTCAAGTTAACCAAGGTAGGTAAGGTAACCTGTCCGACACACAAAGAAGAATAGTAGTAAGAGGTCCTCAAAGTGGATATACAGCCGGTGCCTTTATAGAATTGGTGATTAATACATAATAAAACAAATAATAATGAGTAAGTATGTTATTATGCTCTGTTTTGTTATATCACATAAATACATTCCATTAATTAAATTAATGGAATGTATTTACATTCCATAAATTACAAAGTTATTATTGGTTACTTTCAACAATGTCCAAAATATTTTTTTTTTAGGTTTTTAGTTTTTTTCCTTCTTTGTTTATTATACAAATTTGTTGTAGCCTTTACATCGTGGAGAGTGCATACCTGTCCCTAACTATGTCAAGACAGAATTAAATTGGTTAACAAATAAATGAGTCAACTCTCAGAACTTTGGACTTTTAATTTTTTTTACTGATTTTTTCACAGATTTCAAACTATTTTCCTTGTTTCTTTAGGTTGTTTTGATGATTAGGAACCAGATTAGGGCTTTTTTACTTATATAAAGTATACCCTAAACATATCTCCTAAATCATTATAATTATTTTAATTATCCTTATATATTTTGTTTTTTGGGGGGGTTATATTTTCTTGACTTCATTTCAACACACATTGACCCTACAACTTTCACATATTCGAGTACGAATGCCAAAAAAGGTTTATTAAAACATACAAGTAAATTCATGAATTAGAACTGCCTTATTTAGTGTCGGTAACTTCAACTCCAGTATCCATTAATCTAGTTTGACTGATTCTCACCATTTTTACATATAATGTGCATAGCTGTCTGTTCTACAATCCCTAAAGAATTTATTTTTCATAAACTCTAAATTTTTGGCGTTATAAATTTTTGTTGTCTAAATTTGCGCATACTGTATTTCAAATGCCATATTGACAATTTTTTTTTACAGTAAACTATACTGAAAACCTATATTCTAAATATATGAAAATGAAAATCATAAGCTATTCTGAGAGCCTAATAACACCAAATGAACAATTGGTGATATTTTATATTTTTCCAGCTGATTTCAAAATTTGAAGTTTTTAATATTCAATTTTATAATTATTTTTTATTGTTTTTCAAGTTACACTGATATCATTTAGACAAAGTTGGAGCAGTTGCCTAGTAGATTATGCCCAAAACATTTGAAAGTTTCAGAAAATTTAAAAAACTGAGCTCGGTGTTGCACTTCATATGACGTTTTGCACAGTTTGTTAAATAAGTATCCTCTGAAGGTGCTTGTTGGGTTCTCTTTTGAACACTGCGAAAGGTCGGCCAGTTATGCCCTGTATATGTAAGGGAAGTGTGTTGAAGTCTCGTACTTTTGATGCCTATTACACCTCCGCTTTTCAGTGGGACTATTTTGTACATCCTGCTATGCCTTCTGGTGTCGTGTGATATTTGTGTGTGCAGATTTGGAACCCGTCCTCCTAATATTTTTCAAGTGTAAATTGTTATGTATCTCTACCTGCAGAGAGACATAACAGGCCTGCCTGTTATGTATCTATAGGCCTGCAATCTAGGGAATACAGATTTAAAAACAATTTAGGCGGTCCCAGTAATTTAGATGTTTCTGGATTCTAGCAGTGAAAGATCTTTGCATGCTCTCCATGTCAGCAAATTCTCCAACTTTGAATGGGGCTGTTAGTGTACAGCAATATTCCATCCTAGAGAGCACTAATGTCTTTTGAAAAGCATCATCGTTGGTGTGACAACTCTTGTTTAGAAGGTTCTTGTCATCCAACCTGTCATTTTTCTTAGTTGTGACAGCAACTTTGCTGTGTTCTTTAAAAGTAAAGTCTTCCGACATGATTACTCCTAAATCTTTTACATTGCTTTTTCTTCCAATAGTGTGGTTTGACTGTGTTTTATGTGTGGTTTCTGCTTTGTTATATTTTTATTTTTTTTTGTCCAAGGTGCAGTAATTAGAACTTATCCTCATTAAACATGTTATTTTCTGTGGCCCATTGAAAGACTTAATTAACATCAGATTGGTGGTTTGCTGTTTCTTCTATGTTGTCTACTCTCGTGAAAATTCTGGTGTTATCTGCAAAGAATGATACAGTACTATAGTTTGTATCCTTGTCTATGATATGAAGATGAGGATTTGTCTTCCATGGCATGTAAGACCATGTCATAATGGTGTAGCAAATGTGAGAAGCAGGAGCACCCTGTTCTGAACCCGTGTTGCCTAGGGTTATGTAAACACGGTGTTTCCATGTGTTTTGTGGTATTTCTACTTGACACTCTTTTCAAAGATTTTTTATGAAGTGCGAGTTTAGAGCTATTGGTCTATAACTTTTTGCACTGCTTTACTACCTTCTGTGTGAAGGGGCATGATCTCTGCTGTTTTTAAGTATGTCAGAGATAACACCGGCATCTAGGCTCTGTCTCCAAAAGATGTTTAGGGCCAGTGATGGAAGTTAGGTAAGTTCTTGCAAGAAGTGGTGGACCATCATGGTCACAGTGGATATGTAGACCTGTAGGCCACTCCAAGCTGTTGGACCAAGTTGTCACAAGTTGATTCTGGCCGGGCTTGGGAAGTATAAGCACTCCCAGAACACACTCCAAGTAAACTCCACATAAGCTCTTGAAAAGATCATCTCTGAAAATTAAATTTTTCATCCCTTTGCTCATTCTCGGCTCCATATAAATATTGTAAAAATCCTTTTCCTGGCAACTGAGCAAATAGGAAGATGTGGAGAAGTAACTCAGTGGATCTGGCAGTCTCACCACATGGTTACATTCCAGTTGTTAATACAATCTATCTGCCAAAGCCTGCAGGTAACCCGTAAGTAAATGAGGGCCCTTTGCCCTCTCTGCAATACTGTGTCATTGTAGAGTAAAAAGTGTTCACTGTGATACACGAGTCAGTAATGTGTCCACAATAAATGTTTATTGTCGCAATATTACTGGTTAAAAATTCACTAAAATTACAATATGTATAGTTTCACACACTACACAGTAACACACTATTACACACACAGTACTTCGGAAGCGAGTAATAATCAACGAAGTAGTCCATGGTACACAGCGCGTCTTCGCTCTTATTGCACCAGGTACAGATAGATTTTCGCTTGCTGTTTCTTCATTCGATGTGCTTGCAAATAACGCACTCAGGTACACCCTTGGCTTTAGTACTTGTAGGTGGTATGTAGCCAAGCTTGTAAAGCATAAGGTAGTATTGAAAAGATTATAGGAAAAGATAAAAAAAATTGTAAGGTAGTCTTGAAAAGATAGCTTTTAAGAGATTCACAGGAAGAGATTCGGCCACCCTCGAAGAGTGTCCGTCAATCTAAAGGAGATTCAGGCATTTTGGAAGAGATTCAGCCAGCCTCAAAGAGTGTCAGTAAATCTGGAAGAGATTCAGCTATTCTTAAAAATATCTATGGAAAACACCACCATGAAAGCCGCTAACACTGTTCATCTATGCTACTTCTATCAGATGGATCATCACTGAATGCAGAAAACGATTCATCTATGTATTGTCTATAAATTGGAGATGGCATAGGTGGGCAAGGATGGCGCTCAGAGCTACAACTGGATATGCTCGCTGTATCGTCCTCTTAGGTGCTGTATCACTTGCATCCAACCTTTGTGTTAGGTCTTTACTGTGCCCAGCTTCACCAATATCATGACCCTTATGTTCTTCAAACAATAAGGTTCGAATTTCACCGACAGAGCTCGATCTTTCAACGCTGCGTCGAACAGGGGTTTGGGAGCTAGAGGTGCGTGTGCCACCCATGGTTGCTCACTCGGTACTGACCCAGCCAGCAGCACTATGGCATTCTGGGAATTTTTTTTCCAAGATGGCTGCCTCTCACTGGAGGTCCTGAGTCCATTTCGTACACAACCAATCGCGCATACATTTTGAATGGGTACGAAAAAATCGGAGTTTTCTCGGTTGGCGCACTCCAATGGTTAAGGTCCTTCACTTACTTTTTATTAAATAATTTTCAAAGTAGTGAGAGAGAGGAAGGGATGGGATAAGAAGAGATAGGAAGGAGGGAGATGCCATGCATGTACCATTTTATATGTCATATGTATAGCTCTAGTACTCTTATATTAAATATACAAACATTTATGGATAAATTGCTATCCACACTTCCATGGAAATAACATTCCATTCACCTGGCATGGAATGATTCGAGACCCATAAAGTCGAGGTGAATGGAATTTTATGAGTAAAGTTTTGAAATGGATTGAATACATTTATATAAAAGGTATTTATAGGTTTTTCCTTTTAATTTTCAGATTCTTGAATGTTAAGTACTGTATATATATTACTTTAAAATTATATTTACCTTTTTTCTCTCCCAAAGATGTCTGTTGGTCAGAAAGCTAAGCTGGTGTGCAGTCCCGACTATGCCTATGGAGAAAGAGGTTTCCCTGGTGTGATTCCACCAAATGCCACACTAACATTTGATGTAGAGCTGCTAGCGGTGGAGGCATAAACACAGACTGTGCTGCTGCCATATGGGTTGGGAAGGCTAGTGTAAGGAATTTTGATGTGTACCATAGGGGTTCCCTCATTCATATTTTCTTGTTTAGTTGATACTGTGATACATGTGATAAACACGCTCTGATGTAATGATTTTCAAGCATTGAGATCACCTATCCACCAGATAAATAAGAAAATAAATTAAATAACAAAAATTATTATTCAAATCAAGATTTTCCCTTGTGGCAGTGGACTATTGTTGTTGGGAAAAAATAATTGCCTTCAATTGCTCAGGAACAAATACTTTAATGAAGGTGGAGTGGCCCCAGGTTGAGAAAGATTCCCACTGCCATCCCTTGTACCCACTAACGTTCTACGGACATCCTTTACACCTGACTTGGGATGTTGTATGGACTGTTGGCACATTGTGAAACTGGTTTATTGTGTACTTTTTGATTTTAGTATTTTTTTTTTTTTTTTAGTTTTATGTAACTACATCTGCCTCTGACCTCAGTGATGATTTATACTTTACACATATAGCCCTGAAAGTATATTACTTAAGCCTATATACAAAATTATTATGCATACCAAATGACAAAGTATACTGAAGTGGGTTTACTTGGCTGAATTTGACTTGTTTTAAAGTCAGGCAATTAAGTTTGCAAAATTTGGCTTACAGCTTGTAATGCAACCTACATGTATATCTGCAAAATTTATAGAATGCTTACATAAAGATAGTTGATTATGTATTATGTACACCAGAGCCTCTGTATGCCACAGCCTGTGTATACCAGGGCTTATAGTTTACAGGTAGCAGCAGACTATACATACCATTTTGATGTAGGTTAATGCTGGAAGTTTACCTTCACTTAATTTTACAAAGCATATGATTGGATAATATTCAGTCCAGTATTATCATCACTAATTATCTACGCATGTATTCAGTACACACTTTGGAATAGGAATACAGTACTTAGCACTATGCTGTTGGATGATGCATTAAGAATTTTGCTTGTGAATTGTAAATTAATGTAAAACACATGTTTCTGAATGCATCAGATGTAAGGTCGTGTTTATTGCTGGGCACAAGCATTTCCTCCCAAGATTTGCTTAACATTCTGACTTTTGGTGCAACAGTGAAAGAGAACATTCCCATGCATGTTCCCTGGAGTGGAATATAAAGTTCTGGCTTAGCCTGTGCTTTTAGTCTAGATGTAGAATCTTGGAATATGCAGCTTGACCCATGTAAGGTCATATATCATGATCCCAGTCCATCTCCATACTTCATACTCTGTACCTTTTTCTTTTGTAACTTCTCAGTACAAGGTTCTTCTGGTCAAATAAAGTATGTATGAAAATTTGCATTTTTTTTTCTTTGTGTAACTAAGGCAAAATATAGTAATAAATGTGACTAAAGTTATAAAAGTACAAACAGCCATCTTTACACCATTGTTAACCGTGGACAAAGCACCATTGTAGACCCTGGGGACCCGACCGTCCACTAAAGTACTGTACAGAATTACCCTCGGTTATGTACAAACTATATTATAAATATAATTTGAAAAGAATTGAATCCTGGGCCTTTCCAGCTGGAGGTCCTGTAAATTATCCACTCGGCCAAGAGAACTCTCATAAACAATGTGGCAGCATGGTGTCCCAGGCAACTGTTCAGTGTGCTCACACGTTAAGATGGCACCAAGTATAAAGCAATACTCAAGTACTGTTTAATATAAACTTGTTTTGAAACTGGACTAGCAAGTACGAAAGTAAGCAAAATCTGTGTGATGGGGTTTCTTAACACGGTAATATTAAGATGAAAACTTAAAATTATATAATAATGAAATTGAATATACTGCACTTTAAATGTAGTATAAGAATAATTATAGGAAGTGTAAATAAAAACATAATTTTTAGAATGTATAGGTACTATGGATATGACCAAGGAAAGGTAATAGGACATTTTTAGGAGCAGTTCAATTATAATAATTATTTTGCACAGTGAAATAACATTATTGTGATGTATCATTGAGAAAATCAGTAGGAGCCATGAGGAGGATTCGAACCTGCACACTGGGTACTTCCAAGCCCACGTCTTAGACCACTACACTATGACGTTAAAAGCAATGCAACCTGGGATTCAGCTAAATCATCTTTGGTGTTCTGAGACTTCCACCGGTCCCAATCAAGGTTTCACGAATTGCCCCCATGCACGTTGGCTATGGTCCAGTAGTTCTACCTTCAATGTCTTCAAATTCACATCGAAATCACATTAACGTTATGTATCAATGAGAAGATCAGTAGGGTGGGATTGGAGAGCTCTAGTATAGCCAGAATCTGGCTGTATGCTCTGTGGGAGGCTGTAGCATCTTGTAACAGTAGGAACTAAACTCGTTGAGTGTTACATATCGATTATGACATCAGCTCTCCACATATGTAGGTTGCATAATTTAGAGACTGTACTTGTGGTCGGTCTCGAACTCCTTGTTAATGCAACAATATACCTCTACATTACATTTTGTAACTAGCTCATCAAGACTGTAACTTGATTAAATTAATTTTGGAGTTCAGTCCCTGAGCCTATTATGTGCCTTTAATCTTTACCACTAGTACCCACAAAACGGGTATGGGGTGGATAATAAACGAACTAAACTAAAGTGAATGTCGATGGTGTTGAAGAAAATCCACAGTATATTCGGAGCGCTTGACACTGAACTACTACTAGGGTTAGACTGATAAAGGTCAAGTTGTTTTAGATTTAGCTACTCAGAATAAAAAGTTCCAAGTAGCCAGGGCCGTCTTAACATTATAGGCCCCTGGGCAAGCCAGTGTGCTGGGGCCCTTACGACAACCACTCACAGGAATAAAAAGTAAATAGTCTATAATATTAAACATATAATTATGTTATTGACACTTCAACAAAACTGGTGTTAAAACACTAAAAACATGCTGTGGAGCAGCAACTAATCATATGATAAACATTTGAACAATACACAAGGCTTGAAAACACAATAAATCTCGGTAAGCTACACATTAAATGGCACAGTATGAAATTACTACAAACTTCTTATTATAACAAACATTTCTTTTCAGAGAATTTTTTTATTATTGGCTTGAAGTCAATGGTCTTCAAGATGTCATTTTCCATGCACATGAGTGAAAGCCAATTCAAATGCTGCCCTATTGTGCTGCGAAGCAGATTTTTGTTACAATGGACAATCTGAGTGCAATTTCAACATTCGGGAATACAGATTTCAAATTGTCCAATTTTTTTTTCTGTACAGTGTAGGGAGAATCTCGCAAATTTCATAGAGCTATGTATTGCTTGAGATGCTCGCATTCATTTAAAAGGTACTCATAATTCAGGTCTTTGTAATACATATTAGCCAGGTTTCTCACCGAAGAAAGAAAACAGATTTTCAATCGTAGTAAGGCACGGGTAATGTTGCCACCTAGCAAGGGCGTGCTCAACTACACACGAGGGCGCGACGCCATCTCGTAAGGTGTGCTCAAGCCAGCACCGGAGTCTTCGACCCGACGCGCGGGTCCAGGCGGCCCGAACACGATTTCGGCCGCTTAGCATGAGGGCTACCCGACCAACACGTGGCTTGTTCGACCAGTCCCTGTCTGGCGGGTCTAGCCACAGCCCTAGATACAGAGGCTGGAACGGAGTGTTGGAAAGAGGGTAACTAAGGGCAGGCACGCGCCCGGGCAAGTACACGTTACGCTGGGCACACGTACGTAAGCACACTGGGACCGGGGTCTAAACAGGACGAATACGGATCACGTCAACATAGAGTAAAAACTTGTACCGTATTGTGGAGGGCTTCAATCAAGAGTCCCGTGCGTGCCGCTCTCGGAGGGCGACGTGGGCCGGCGTAGGTGGTGTCGTTTATAGCTGAGGTAGGGGACCTTGAATGCTGGAACTATATCTATGGTAAGCAAATTGACATCTAAGGTACTTGGCGTCGTAGACCACGTATGGCAGGTTGGCGGAAGTACATCGCTTTGGTTGAGGGCGAACAGAAGTCACGACCTGTTATAGATTCAGCTACGTACTGAACAAGTTCCAAGTAGCACGGGCTATGGTGAGCCCGTAACTTACCTGGCACAGGAGCGGAGCAAGTGCCTATTAATTTTGTTTAAATTACCAATCAAGCTGTCAGTGTAATCAATCACAGCTTTAATATATCAATTTGCTTTAATATACTTACTAATCTCTCTCATCTCATTTTTTCTCTTGCAATGTATATGTTATCATTTTATTAATTCTGCTAGAATTTACCGACTTAAAATTATCTGTTAGATTAATAAATAATAAATGTTTATTCAGGTAAAGTACATACAAGAGGTTTTACAAAAATTGATAGATTTATAGATAGAGCTAGTACATACAATGCCTATTACGCAAAGCGTTTCGGGCAGGAAAAACTGTTACGGCCCTCTCGGGTCGCAACTGGGTTCTTACTCTGATGTTATTAGAGGAAGGGTATCCGGCCCCAAGCCAGTAGTGGCTTTCAAGGGATGAGATCCGTAACGCAAGTAAAATAAAAGGGGAAGGGAAAGAAAGGCAAAAACTTAATATTATAATTAACACCTTCACCAATAAATATATAAAAAGATTACAGAGGGGGGGGGGGTATAAACACTATAATACACGGTTGTCTTCCTCTGAAGACTGGATCTTCACGGTGCCAAACTCTTGGTGCTTTCGTGGCCTCACGACGAATCCTTCGAGAAGCTTGAGTCTACCCCGGCCACAGGCCAGCCAAAACACAGTTCCACTGGGGGCACCGCCGTGGAGGCCGTCAACCACAAGTCCAGCAGATAGCTGGCAGGTTCCGAATCAGCGACGCTGGTTAGGCCACTCCACGAGCGATACTAGGGTAGAACCCTAGTCAGGAGCCTCGTGTGATACCACGGATCACTCTCCTTTCCACAATACCCCAGTGGTTAAGCGTCTCCACCAGTAAGTCCCGGGTATGACAATCCTTCAACTGTCACTTCATAGGCAGGGTAACACCACAGTGTTCATCCGGGAGGCGACTCACAACTGCTGCAGCAAAACACTTGGTGTCGAGACGGCTGCCTTGGGTAGACTGATCCAACTTCCATTACAGCAGTCCCAGGTCGACTCTGTAATCAGACACGTCATCAGTAACAGGGACACACAAAAGCACCTCGCTTACAGGCTTAGACACAAACGCCCGACGTATCCATTCCATAGATGGCGTTGTTGTCTGAGCACCACCTCACCAGAGGTCAGCAGCGGCTGTGTTGTGAGCTGAACAGGACTGGAAACTGGCCCTGGTGGCCAGTACACCTCGTTCTCACCAGGTGTCGTCGTCCATTTGGAGGGGGTTTCGGGAGCTGACTCACAGATGGCGTGGTCGTCACTGCTCCAGGCTCGGACGCTGGATCCGGGTCCGTAACAAAAACATTAAAGACTAAACTATGCTATGTATTCTCACAAACCCAATGTACCTTCTTGTATATAAATAAATAAATAAATAAATAAAAAATAAGTAGCACGGGCTATGGTGAGCCCGTAGTGGACTTGTCACAGGAGCGGTGCAGTCACGACCTCTGCTGGCGCGCCTTGTGACCCCGCTCGTTGTGCGCGCAGCTTAGCTGTAACTTGTTAGACGTTTTTTTCCCACAGAAAAACCACCGCTTTTGTCAAGCAAGTGTCCATCCACCCCCTCCCCCCCTATCCAGTGGCAACGGTTATCTTGAGATGATTTCGGGGCTTTTTTTTTAGTGTCCCCGCGGCCCGGTCCTCGACCAGGCCTCCACCCCCAGGAAGCAGCCTGTGACAGCTGACTAACACCCAGGTACCTATTTTACTGCTAGGTAACAGGGGCACAGGGTGAAAGAAACTCTGCCCATTGTTTCTCGCCGGCGCCCGGGATCGACCCCAGGACCACAGGATCACAAGTCCAGTGTGCTGTCCGCTCGGCCGACCGGCTCTCCTAGGTTACAGTAGATAGGTTACAATCACTCAGTTACTATCTACAGTAGCAAACTGGGGATATTTGGCTAAGATTTCTGGCAGCAGATCATTTTGAATGAAATATTTACACATCTCTGGAACATTTGTTATAAAATTGTCTCTGAATTCACATAACTTTTCGCACTCCATCACATAGTGATGGAGGGTGTACGAATAATTTTGTTGACAGTTTACATTTGGTCAGGTCTACACCAGCAGGTAATTCCCAGAGATACTTGTAATCGAGCTAAAGCTGAGCAGTAGTAACTTTAGAAATCGGCTGATTTTATTGGATGACCCATAGATGTGTGGGTCTTGCATGATAGTATGATAGACGGAATTACTGGTGTCGATTCACTTTGCCTCAGA